CTGCAAAATAGCCAGGGAAGTACATTTGTCATCTAGCTCTTCAGTTTTGAGAGGAAATGAACTTTAAGTTAGGCATGCCTCAAACTGAAACTCTCTTTTTCCAAAAACCGTCTTTAGGAGAAAATGAATTTTTCAGTTTGTTGGTTGGGATATTTTGACACAGGCATTTATATAGGGACCCAGCATGAACCAACATAAATAGAAAGCACATAACACTTAGGAAATATTTGCATGGCTTGGCAATGGTATTTTCATGTTTGAGAGCAACGTGGAAATGCAGGGGGCACTGAAGAATTTCTTATTTGTAACAATGTAAGACACAAGAGATTTACTTTGGATCTTGCACCCTACATCTATTTTAGTTTGGTTCCTCTCTTTGCAAATGAAAATAAAAAGTGGCTGCAAATCAAATTCTCAGATTTTAGTACTTTTGAGATTATCTTTTTCAGCTATGAAAAAATTCTATATCTGATCTAAGAAGGGGCAGAATCTTACACTTTGCTACTAACAGAACATTTGGAATATCTTTTCCATTTGAGGATGTAGACATGGGTGCTAAATCTTATTTGTAATCAACATTTCTCTGATTACCAGTGAGACTGAGCATCTTGCTATGTGTATGGTCCAAGTAAATTTATTTTCCTGTGAATTTATGTATTTAATTTCCTGTGGTTGGGGCTGGGGATTTAGCTCAGCGGCAAAGCGCCTGCCTGGCAAGCGCAAGGTCTTGAGTGCGGTTCCCGGTACCGGAGAAAAACCAAAAAAAAAAAATAATTTCCTGTGGTTACTGCTTTATAGCCTTTGCCCGTTTTTTGTTTTTTTTTTTTTTTTTAATTGTATTACTTTAAGTCTACTTTGGATACTATGATGTGGGCCCTCTTTGTTGTGCTGTGTACTGTAGCATATGTGTTTGTAAGAATGTTTTTTTTTACTGTGTTTACAGTGTTTCTGGCTGAACAAAATTTTAAAGTTTTCTGTGTTTTTCCACATATCAGTCATCCTCCCACTTGCTTATAGATTTCACACATACTTCTCAAACCTTTCTTTGACCTATTCCCTTGCCTAAGGTTTTATAGGGTTTGTTTATTTTCATAATAGTCTGGTAATTTTTTTGAGTCTTTAAGTACAGAAATTAAGGTTATGGTACCCACTGTTTTTGTAGTTGCAGAGCCGAGAGTTGCTGAGAGCCATGCTTCCCCTTGCTTATTTCTTTGTTATTTTCTGGCTGTTCCAAGACTCCGCCTCCTTCTCCATTCTCCACATGTACATTTCACGTGGGTCCTCAAATCTCTCTTCTCCTCCCAAGTGCGGCTGTTGCTGAGCCCTGAGCACTGTTGTGGAGACCTTTGCAACCACATGAGCTGGTTTTCCTTCCCTAGCTTTACCCACTTTACTGTTTTACTGTAATTTGAAGAGTCTGTGTCTATGGTACATGAGGATTACACGCGCTGCAGGAGTTGGTGCACGACATGAGACACCCTGAGTCTTTCCTTCCCCTTCCCCTCCACCCCTGCTTTTATTCCAGCATCAGATTCATGTATTTTATAAGTTCTTCTCAAGTTAATTATAAGTGTTTCTCAAGTTAATACATGTAGATTAACAATCAGACTAACAGGCAAAAAAAAGTAAAACAGATAAGACTATTATACTAAATCAAGATACACATATAGATACATCGTCTGTGCTGGATTACAGTAACTTTTTTCTCCTTTTTTCCCCCCTTTTGGCTGTGTTTTACTTAGTTTTTTCCACTTTAGTCCACTCTCTAACCTCCTTTTGTAAGGAAATCCAATGATTCTGAGGCCTCATACTATTTTATATGGTTTTATTGAAATATGATATGTGTGCCATACATTTCATTCATTTAAAACATACAATTCACTATTTTACTACACCCATGGAGTTGTACAGTCACCATCAGGCTTGATTTTAAAGCATCTTTATCAACCTAAAAAGAAATTCCCTATCCCCTAGATGGCACTGCCATCACCTCTATCTTCCCTGTCCCTTGCCCTGGGGCATGCTGTTCGTTCCAGCCTCGTCAGCTCTGGACATTTCACATGGGGGAAATCATGGAACATGTGGTAGTCAGTGACTCTCACCTTTCCCTTAGCAGGGCGGCTCCCGCATGTATCCACAGGCAGCACAGATCAACATTTCGTCCACCTTTACTGCAGAAGCATATGCCACTGCATGGATACACCACATCTTCTCCATTTACCAACTCAAGGATGTTTGGATGGTTCTGTCTTTGTGTCTTATGAGTGATGCTGCTGAGATGGGGAGGACCACCTAGGCAGCTCTCCTTGACAAAGGAGCAATTGCCTCCATTTTGGCTGAGCCTGACCCTATTTCCATGTATTGACGTGTACAGAGCTGGCTGGGACTTTTCCTTATTCCTTCACTTGGCTTTAAGCAATGTGTATCGCTCTAGTTGAGGTACTGCTGGTAGTGTTTGAAGACAGCAGTCGTGTTCTTCCGGACCCCCACCTGTTGTTCCCTTGTGTGAGCTGGGACAAGATGGGATGGAGAGCCAGTGCTCCATGCTGTCAGCTGGGATCCAGCCTCAAGATAGAGGCTACGATTTCCTGTGATTTCAAAGATTACACATCAGAGCTGAAGCATCGACCCCGAAAACATTAGATACTACCTGAACTGCTATGCGGATGACTCTTTCTGCATTCCCTTCTCTCTGCATATGGCAGGGGTGAGTTCAGGCCTCCTACCTAGCCCAGCTCACGGCACTCTTGTACTTCCCGCCACTCTCACAGTCACTCATCCCCAAGCCATTCCCTTCACAAATGAATAAAATCAGGGTTCAGTCCTAGGTAAAGGCCTTTGTTCGGGATAGCCATCACTGTGGCAGAACTCAGGACCCCCTCGACTCCCCACCATTTTGGATATATTACTGTGTCTTTATTTATGCCATAGGTTGTACTGGAAGTGGTAGATTGGAATTAGCTCATTACAATTCCAATAACTTTTCCTTGGGATTACAAATATAAGCTTCCTGGGAAGTGACAAGGACTGGGAAGTGCTGGCTATACTGTGAGTCTCCTATGAATTTTACAATAAGTTTAGTCCCTTGCAGAAAATTCTATGAGGAGTTTTGTTGCAACAGCACTAACTTTATAGATAAACTTGGGAAATTAAATTTTTTTACAAAATCGAGTATTTCTATCAGGAAAACTGTTAAAAAATTTTTGCACTTTTTTGGACTCTGTTTATTGCCTTCCATGAAGTTTTACCAATGTCTTCATAACGTTCTGGAGCTTCTCTTTTTTATGTCTGTTGATTTTTACATTTTGTCCAATTGAATAGGGTTTTACAATTAAAATTTCTATTTACTATAGATAGATGAGAGACAGAGACAGAGAGAGAGAGGGATGAGAACTGCATGGATAAGACAGAGATAGATTGGGTAGATAGAGAGAGAGAGAGAGAGAGAGACATGTTGCATAGATATAGATGATAGATAGATAGATAGATAGATAGATAGATAGATGAGTAGTGCATGGAGAGACAGATGTAGATAGATACAGAGCTACTTGCTGCCACTAGAGAATCCAAAACCAAAAAGATAGCCCCAAGAAAGAAATAGATACAAAGAAAAACTTCATACAATATAGAATTCTAGGGCAGGACAGTCGCTGCTATTATCTCCCACTTTAGGATGTTTAGGAAAACGTGAATAGGGAAATTATTTCATGGTGGAAGGGAATTCCAGTTGTTCTAATACCATCAGATCTTGATGGTTTCTTGTGAAAAGGTTCCTTCTGTGAAGAAAGGGGAAATTTTATACATTGTTGATTGGAATGTAAATTAGCACAGCCACTATGGAAACCAGTATTAAGGTCTCTAAAAGACTAGAAATAAAACCACACTACCGTAGGATCCAGCCATTCCTCCACAGGGTAGCAATGCAAAGGAAATGAAATTGACAAGTTAAAGAGATACTTATGTCCCCATATTTACTGTAGCACTATTCCCAGTAGCAAAGACATGGAATCAAGTTAGATGCCTAGCAGTGGATGCATGGATAAAGAAAACATAGGGTGTGTATATAATGGAATATTACTGAGCCATAAAAAAAGAAATCCTGTCATTTGTGACAACATGGATAGAACTGAATGGCATTTTGTTAAGTGAAGTAATCCAGGCACAGAAAGATGAGTATTGAATGTTCTCACCTAAATGTAGAAGCTTTAAATAGTTAATTTCATAGAAATGGAAAACAGAATAGTGGTTAACAGAGCCAGAGAAGGTTGAGGGGGACAGAGATGAATAGAAGGTAGTTAATAAGTATGGCATGAACTAGGATAATTTATAATGTTCTGTGGTGCAGTAGGGTGACTATGGTTGAAAGCAATTAATTGTGTTTCAAAATAATTAACAGAGAGGAGTTTGAATGCTCTGCAAACAAAGCAATGATAAGTGCCTGAGTGACGAGTATACCAGTTATCCTCATTGGATCATTACACGCTGTATACGTGCAGTGAAATATCCCATAAATATTTACAGTTACTATGTAGTGGTTAAAATCTCTTAATTAAAATTTTGAAAAAGAACCCAAAGTACAAATAAAGGGGAAAAAACAGAGAGAGAGAGAGATCATAGGGAACAGGGAGATGGATCTTTCTCAAATGGGAAGGGGACTAAGCGATGTGGGGTTTAAAAGAATGAGGACGTGCCCTGTATAAGGACGTGCCGTGTCCGCGTACCAGCTCCCCACGATAAATGTCTCCGTTCTGTATGGCAAATGTGTACTAATAAAAATAAATAACAAAATACTTTTTAAAATAATAAATTGTTTTAAAAACATGTAGAACTAAAAAAGAATAAGTTTTCCTTAGAGACACCACGGGGGAGTTCAGCAGGCCTGGAAGTTCACCTGTGTTCTTTGTCTCGGTGCTTCGGTTGCTGCGCAGATAAGAGTTCTTGTTGCTCCCTCGTGCACGTTAGGAACGTGGCTAACCACGCCCCTCCACCTCCCCCTCCAGGATCTCCAATGAACACTCACCCAAGCTCCAGATCCGCAGTCACAGTTACCTGAGGGCGGTGAGCGAAGTCTCCATCAACCGGAGCTTGGACAGCCTGGACCCCGCGGGCCTGCTCACATCGCCCAAGTTCCGGTCCAGGAACGAGAGCTACATGCGCGCCATGAGCACCATCAGCCAGGTGAGCACAGGGACCCATGCAGAGGCTGGGGACAGCTGGGTGGCAGGAAATAGGGACCACCAAGGGCCCAGACAGGAGGCCCAGGCAGGTGCCACTAACAGCTGACTCCCTGTGTCCTGGTCCAGGAGGGAGGAACCTCTGCAGGGAGCTGGGGCCAGGAGGGCTCTTGAAAACCCACCAGCACTCAGACAAGGCCTTGCAGGCTGTCCAGAAGAGGCTGGTGCTAGGGCTGGGTTTGTAACATGGATTGAAGGACACACACAGGCCAGATCCACCGGCCAGGCTGAGGAAGGGCTAATCATAAAAGCATTAGAGCTGGACACAGACCCTCCAGACAGGACTTAGCTGGCAAAACGAGGGACCCTCTATGTCCCTAACCTGGGCCCAAGGGAATACTGCATCCAACGCTGAGATCAGACCCCACTCCTAAGAACTGGGCACAGTTCAAGGACGAAGACTCTGTGCAGTGTTCAGCCGTGACACTGCAGGCTCTCCCACGTGAGGTGGCAGAGAGGCCAGTGGAGGGTGGAGTGGTAAAGCTACACTTAGCATGTGTTAGCCCTGGGCTCCCCCAAGCACACAGAAATGAAAATGTTAGGGGGGCCTGAGCTCAGGACAGTGAACCTGGGACTCTTGGAGGAATGGATCCTGAAGTTTTCAGGGGCCACCAGAAGACAGAAGGGAACTCTTTCAGAGAAGGCATCAGGAAGGACATGTTTGCCAGGCATGCTGGCACAGAACTATAATCCCAGCACTGTGGAGGCTGAGGCAGGAGGATCACAAATTCAAGCCCAGCCTAGGCAAATTAGCAACTCATCAAGACCTCACCTCAAAATAAAAAAAAAAAAAATAGGGCTGGGAATACAGTGCAGTGTGAAGAACCACAATCCCCAGCACCGCAAGGGAAAAGAGTATTTTTCAAATGAAATAGTTTTGGAGGCTCTGAATCTAAATTTACATCACAAACTTAAAAAAATAAGTACTAGACCATTAATTCAATTAATATTTATTAAGCAAAACACTGATGAGATTTTTCAAGTAATGCCATTAGGAGTAGCATAATACCTGTAAAGGTTTACAGTTTCATGCAGGGCTTATGAGAAACATAAAAATCCTGTCACAAACATTATCTATTTGACCACCACAAAAACTCTTGGAGTTAACCATTGGAGCCACCTTTGCTTAGGAACGTAACTGGTCGATCTGCCAGTTGCTTTATATCCACATAAGATTAGTCCTATAAACACCTGTAAGACATGTAAATGGGACTTTCCCTGTAGCCACATAACTGTAAATAAGATACCAGTGTGAAGGACAAAAAGATAAGTACCTAGAACTTTAAAGAGAAAGCTTCTAGGAACCAAATCTAGGAATGCACATTTTAACAAACATCCCAAGGATTCTGATAAAACAGCATTTAATTTGAACTTTGGAAAATGCCAGCCTAAAGCGTATTCAAGCAATAATGAGTGCTCTGGCTTGTTGGAACCCAGAAAATTTGAGGGGTAGCCATGGGAGAGCCATTCTGAAGACTGTCCTGGAGACTTTTATAATAAATGTCTTTGCATGCCAGCCCCAGGAACCTGGACTTCAGTCACTAGGAAAGACATTAAGCAAAGACTAGTAAAATGCCAGTGTTTAAGCAGTAAGGGGTATTGTATAAGTCACTTTCCCATCACTTGGCTAAAATATCTACACCTACAACTTAAAGGAGAGGTTTGTTTTGGCTTACAGTTTCAGTCCATGGTTGGCCAGTTCCAAGGTAGAACCATCATGGCGGAACCATCATGGCGGAACCATCATGGCGGACCATCATGGCGGAAGGGCCTGGCAGAGGAAGGCTGCCCACCTCCTGGCAGCCTTGCAGGTTGGGCCACTAGCAACCCACCTCCTCTGTTCAGCCCTGCCTCCCAACAGCACATTCATCTGTGAACTCATCAGTGACTCCCTGAAGAGGACACCACTCCCCACATGACCCAGTCACCTTCCAAAAGCCCCATGAGACTCTGGGGGACATTTTAGATCTAAGGCAGGACAGCTATAATCAGAACTCTGATGCAGGATAATTAATCCAGTAACCACATGTGGGAAAGATTGGAACGGATAGAAAGCGAGCAGCAGAGGCTAGACTGGAAGGAAGGGTGTGTGACCACCGAGGTACAAATGGATGCTGCTGGTGTGGGTAGTGGTGGTGACTGCAACCTGACCGTGGTGGAAGTGGGGACACGGTGTGGTTCCGGCATGCGTGAGATGGTGGTGAAATGCTAAGCTGATCCCTGAAGCACACAGCTGTCAGAGTGACCTTGAAGTAGCACCTCTGTTCCATTCTGTCCCTGCCATCAAGCCTGCACTCTGCTCTCATGGAGTCCTGCGGGTCAAAGGCCACGCCCACACCAGCTCCAGGCACAGAGCGTCAGGGAAGGCTGGCCTGAGGGCCCCAGCAGTGAGCCTTCCCTCCTGTACTGGAGAGAAGCCTCTAGCTGTGCATGCAGACCCAGCTGTGCTGATTAGAGTGGTGCCATCAGCCCAATCTCAGCAAAACAATTGAAGCCTCATTGTGGCCCAGTTCAGCCTTGGTTCATCCTCACCTTTTTTACAATAAAACTTCTCAAAAGGTATCTTTATTCTGCACAGCCGAAAAGTCATGCCTTGTCTCAAAACTATGAAACAGTTTACAAGTTCATGTGTCATCATACATGCAGAATACAGTAGTGGATTTAAAATTTTCTTGGCAGCCGGGTGTGGTGGCACACACTTGTAATCCCAGCATGTGGGAGGCAGAGGCAGGAGGATTACTGTGACTTCCAGGCCAACCTGAGTCACATGGCAAGACCATGTCCCAAACAAAAGAGAGATAAAAATGTTTTTGGAAAAGATTTATACCCAATGTATGACTTTTAATATGTTTAAAACAAGGGATCTGACTCCCTCCAGCAGGAAGGTACCAGGTAACTGGCTGATGTTAGTCCCTGTGCTGTGGTGCTGACCTGCATTGGGACAGCATCCTTCCCAGGGATGCTTAGTGAGATGGCACAGGTACTGGGAGCACTGATACTGCGTCCCGCAGTGTGGTCGCTGAGCCTTAAGTAAGCACAGAAAGGATCGCTGTTCTGAATGGATCCTCAATGATATGTCCTTTTTCCAGCACCACATTCGATTTTCATGGAAGACAGTCTCTAAGGATAATTTGAAACTTCCAAGTACAGTTGCAACCTTGTCATTGTTCGGAGGACAGGAGTTTTCTCTTCGAAGCAAAACAATGTGCACACTCCAGGCTGTTCAAACAGGAGATGGCTTTCGCTATATCAGAGATATTTTCTCCTATAAATCACTTGTAGAAACTAGAATCATACTGAATTCAAGTGAACGATGGCCTATTCAGTTTAAAATCTGACATCTTCATCCTAGAAACAGGAAAATAAAATTTTGTAAGCCGAGGAATTGGTCTAGAACCACTAAATTGTTTGTTTCCATCATTCAAAACTTATGGAAGCAAAACACATTATACTTGGATGATAGAGAATATTCAAAATCTTTTCATAGGTTTATTCATTTTCTATACTTTACTATATATATATATCTAATGAAATGGGTGCTTTTATAGAGTAAGTTTTGAAAAGAATTATAGAATGTCAAATTTTTAGAACTATTTCAGGTAAAAAAAAAACAAAAAAGAAAAAACTATTTCGGTAATAATTATCATCATTTCAAATTAATTTGTGTCTTATATTCCAAGCACAAATCTTAAGTATCTTCATCTGGAACTGCAAACTAGAAGTCCACAGATATATTTTACCTGGTGACATATTGGATTACATCAACTTTTTTTTTTTTTTTTTTTTTTTTTTTTTGGTAGTGGGAATTGAGCCCAGGGCCTTCACACTGAGCTACATCCCCAACCTTTTTTTATTTTGAGACAGGTCTTGCTAAGCTGCCTAGGATGGTCTTGAATTCAGGATGCTCCTGCCTCAGCCTACCAAAGTACTGGGATTTCAGGCATGCACCACCATGCTTGGTAGTTTTTTAAAAGTAATGTAACTGGGCAGTTTTTGTGTTTAGAAGTAAAAGCAGCAGCTTAGCTGTGACTTTTGACTTAGTACAGCCTTTCACTGTGGGGTGTGTGAGTGTGTGTTTGCACGAGTGTATGTGTATGCAGAAATGAGATCCAGATGTGTATACAGCTAGCCAGTAACAGAACCAAAAGACCCCGTATTGCTTATTTAATTACTCCATGCCTCCTGGTACGAGTGGTAACAGGGTTATTATCAAGGAAGCCATTAAAGACTATGAAATTCATGTCAAAGAAAGACTCAAGACCCAATCTGAGGCATTTGCTGGCCAAAGATGGGACAAATGAGTTCACAAGAATAACAAAGTACATTCAAAGTTACTGCACAGTCATTTTTCCATGACTGTGGCAGGCATCTGAGATAAGTCAACTTAAAGGGGCGCAACCTTATTTAAGCTCACAGTCTGGGAAGCTGCAGTCAAGGGCACAGAACCTGTTGCCTTGGGGGCTGTTGTGAGGCAAAAACACGGCAAGGAGTGTGGGGCAGGAAGCTGCTCAGACCAGGTGACCGGCAATGGAAGAGAGGGGAAGGGGCGGAAGTCCAAATATCTCCTTCAAGGCCACGCCCCCAAATGACCTCACTTCCGTCCTGTAGGTCCCACCTCCTAATGATTCAACCACCGCCCAGCAGGGTAGGGAGATGCCTTTGGAGGACACTTACCACACTATAACAACAAGCAAATATTTTTTAATCTATAATCTACGTTGATCTTTTTTCTTTGAGTTTTTTGTTGTTTTGATTTTGTTTGATAATCGTTTTTGTTGTTGTTGACAATACTGGGAATTTAACTCAGGGCCTTCCCACTAACATACACTTCAACTCCTTTTTATTTTTATTTTTATCTTAATTTTTTTATAACTCACTAAATTCCCCAGGTGGGCTCAAACTTGCAATCCTCCTGCCAGAGTGCTGGGATTACAGGCATTCACCATCAGGCCTGGAATTTTGATCTTTATAAAAATTAGCTCATCACCTCTGAAAGACAAGGGGGAACATATCAGTATCTCAAAAGAAGAGGGAAAGATCAAGAATCTGTCTTTCCACCCTGTATGAACTAAACCATTAAGTAGCAAGATAATATAAGACAGGAAGCAGTTCTTTAGCAAAATTCTCCAACTAGGAGTTGTAAACATAATGACAGAATTAGAATATTGCCATTTCACAACCTGGATGAGTTACTGGATCTAGACATTGAACATAAAATGATTCTTGACAACATAAAAAGAGAGGTATCCCAGACCCAATGTGCCTTCCATGGAAGAGCACATGCCTTCTAGCCATGCTAAAAGTCAGAGTCAGACCAAGTTTCTGGGTACAGTTTACAATTTTCAAGAAACACAAAAAACAGGAGAATGTGCCCAAAGCATCATCAGCATGAAATCATCAAAATCAAAACTGTGGAAAACTCTGTTGGTCAAATGACACACATTCTTCAATAGAAAAATTGTAATCAAAAGAAATACATACTATTTGTACTAAGAATAATAAAGTACATTTAAAGTTACTGTGTTAGCTTTCCATTACTGTGACAATTAGATAAGTCAAATAGATACATAGACACATAGACAGACAGTATGCTTAACCTAGTCAATTATGTAAAAAAAGCAAACAAGTTGTAGAATTGTATTTACTCTCTGACTCAAGTTGTATTAAAAAAAAAAAATTGATGGGGGAGCATATCAAGTCTCTGGTAAGACAGGCCTCCAAGTTCAGTGGTTGTTACCTTGACAGGGATATTTGCTATTTCTTTCTGATGCTGAATACACCATTCATAAGAGAAATATCAAGAAAATTATTTATAGACAGATAGGTATAGACACATACGTCATACAGTTGGCTTTACTGTTTACTTGGAAGTCAGTTCGAACTTACGAGAGTCACAACATCATACAAAGACTTCTGCCTACCTTTGACAGAGATTCTGATTCGTTGTTAAACACAAACAGACCACACTGGCCCGGGGTTTCTTTCCCTCGCTCCACTTCACAGTCACAGGTACTGCATCCCTTCACCCCTAAGCGCACCCGTGTATTTCCCAAAAAGCCAAAAGATTTATCCATAAAGACATAGATATAATCTTAATATGGATGTATGTAGTTATTTGCCTCGAAAATATGCATATCTTTTGTTAAATTAGATAAAAGATGTGCAAGTACTATTTTTAAGTTGTGAAGATTTCTTATTAAGAAATGCATGCCTCTTTCCAACAAAATACCGTAAGGTAATTGGTCACTCTTAGCTGAGACTTGAAGAAAGCAGCCGTTCTAGAGCACATCTTCAGAGAACACAAAAAGAGACGATAAAAAAATTGCAACTGTATTTGCTAAGCGTTCTAGGCTTCATTAAATTCCCAATTACTCATGAATTCGATATTAGAGTAAGCAGAGACAAAAAGTCCTGGAACATAACAGAAAATTGCTCCCGAATCTTCAGGCGAACTCCTACAAAGTTAGCTAGGCATAACTTTTTCATAAACGGTACTTGAGCTCGATGAGAGTTTTATACAGAGGAATATAAATCAATAAAAACGGATTCCTCAAAAAAAGAGAGGGCTAACACCTTCTATTTAAAAAACAGCCCCATTTCAAAGATCTTTTAAGTTGTACTTTTAAACAATCCGAGTACCATGTCAGCCCTTTATAAAGAGCGAAACCTGTGCACAGTTTGAGAATCTTGATAGTGCTTTTCAAGACTGTCACCGTCCGGGTTCCGTCTACGTTCCTACAGGAACGTCAAGCACGATTCCATACATTGCTCTTAACGAGGCCTTAGCCAACCCTGAAACAATCCGACCCACTCCTCATTCGCAAAGGCAGAATAAAAGCACTTGCTCCTACAATGTTCGTGCTGCAAATTCCACTGAAGTCCCGAGCTCTGCCCAGAGGCCATGAAACCCCAAATCTGCAGCATTGCCAAAGCAAGAGGGGCTGCGGCTGGGGCGCCCTGGCTGAGCGCTCGCCCCGCAGGCAGGAGGCCCAGGGTTGGAAACCAAGCCTCTTAAGGGGTTAAAAGAAAGAAAGAAAAGGCCGGGGCGGGGGAGGGAGGAGAGAGAGAGAGAGAAAAGGAGAGAAAGAAGGAAGGGAGAGAGGGAGGAAGGAAAGAAAAAGAAAGAAAGAAAGAAAGAAAGAAAGAAAGAAAGAAAGAAAGAAAGAAAGAAAGAAAGAAAGAAAGAAACTTAAGCAGGGAATAAACGACGCCCTTGGGGCCGGGGATTTAGCTTAGGGGCACAGCGCCTGCCCAGCAAGTGCAAGGTCGTGAGTTCGATTCCTGGTACCGGAGAAAAACAAACGTAAGCCCTGGCTGGAAATGGGCGCATCCGGCTGGCACTGACCCCGCTGCCGTCCGCCCGCAGGTGAGCGAGATGGAGGTGAACGGGCAGTTCGAGTCGGTGTGTGAGTCGGTGTTCAGCGAGCTGGAGTCGCAGGCGGTGGAGGCGCTGGACCTGCCGGTGCCCGGCTGCTTCCGCATGCGGAGCCACAGCTACGTGCGCGCCATCGAGAAGGGCTGCTCGCAGGACGACGAGTGCGTGTCGCTGCGCTCCGCCTCGCCGCCGCGCACCGCCACCACGGTGCGCACCATCCAGAGCAGCACGGGTGAGTGCGGCCGCGGGCAGGCCGGGGCGGAGGGGCCGGCGGGCTTTCCTGTTCCGGCGCAACCCGCGCGCTCCGGGGCCCTGAAACACCCGCGAGCAGCCCAGGGTCGCAGGCCCGGTCGGCCGGCCGGACAGATTGTGAGCTTCCTCTTATCGCAGCAGAAAGCAGATGTATTCATGAGTTTAAAAACCTCCCATCATGACAAATAACACCGCCTTTTCCCGCTAAATTACGCGTAGGCTTTAGCGGTTCGACTCTATCAGGAGACTTTTAGGTACACAGGCACGGAGAGGTAAAAGTAGTTTCCGTGCCGCTAAGAGCTGCGCAGTGACAAAGCCTATGGGTGAGTATGGATATACCACAGGGTTCCCAGGAGAAAACCCTCCACCCTGACAGGGCTCGAGCTTGCGGTAGAATCCAGCATAACTCCAGGGGAGTAATTCTACCGGACGATCCCCAAACCTACAGGCAGGGTACATAACGATGAATACATTAGAACGAAAGTCCTGGGCCAGAACCCTGTAGTTCTAGGTATGTCAAACGTCAGCAGCTATCCTGCGGCCCAGACCTTGGGTAGGCCTGAGGGCTAAGTCCTCAGGCTGGAGGTTAGAGCCCTGCCAAGTAGAGACCCGGAGTTCATGGCCGGATTCTAAACCACCAGACGTCCCACAGCAGGAGCAGGCGCTGTTGGGCACTGCAGGCTGCGAGGGCCCCCAGGTCTGCTCACACAGTGCACAACAACCGTGTCCCCCGGCTATCCGCGGCCCCCGCACCGTGAGTTCGCTCTTGCTGAAGAGGCAACGCCTGGCTCGGCCATAGGCGAGAGTGCTGAGCTCAGCGAGACAGACTGACAAGGAGCAAAGTGTGTTTGCAAACCGCCAACCATGGGCATTCGTGCACATGTGTGTTTGCCTCCGTGCCGTGACTGTGGCTTTCAAGGTCCGCTGTCAGCCGATGCGTGTCACCGTCTCTTTCTGTGTCCCCAGCTGCCTGTCCCGTGTCTGCTCCCTCCTCTCTATAGTGATCTTACCGCCACCGCTGCTACCTAAAATCGATCCTCACAGAAAGGCTCCTGGCTCACGCCTTCTCCCTTGGGGAACCGGGCTGGGGAGAGTAGGGCGAGGCTTTGGGGGGTTAAAGAGAGTTCGGGTGCCCCGCTCCCCCTCCAAGGATCTTGTGGTTTTGTCATTAAGAGACAGTTTACTGTCAGCTGTGGTGTCGCACGCCCATAATCGCAGCACTTGAGAGGCCGACGCAGGAGGATCACCGTGAGTTTGAGGCTGGGCTGTGTAGTGAATTCAAAGCCAGCCTGAACGACATAGCGAGACCTTGTTTCAAAAAACAAAACAAAACAGGATAATTTATTGGTGCTCCCTGTCTAATTGTTCAAATTCTCTCAGGTCTGACCTCCCTAACCCCTCCCCGGTACCTTGGGGACTCCCAGAGTTCAGACAGTAGAACTGTCAAAAACAAGCAGGGTCATCCAGGAGTAACTGAACTTCAGGTGGACGGCGGATAGTTTTGTAATATGCCTGTATCCCGAGTGTTAAGTACTGGAGTGTGCGTGGCCTTTGCCGAAACCCAGCAGCTCTGCGGAGAAGGAGCCCAGGGACGGGGACCTGTGTTGCTCCATTTCAGATTTGAGTTGAAGCTGAGGGGCCTCAGCTGGAGACCACACAAACCAGCAGGAGTGCAGGCCACACCGAGGAGCTTGTCCACTCCTTGCTGGGCTCCACACCAGGGGCTCTCTGGGTGGACAGGTCCAGGCTCTGCTCCCCTGCTAGGGCTCGGGCACAGGAAGCTGTAGTTTGGTGTGGGTTTGGGGCGGCGTCAAAGGCCTTGGCACGAGGAGCTGTTGGCTTCTAAACATTCTGCGCCATGAGTGTCACTGTCATGGAACATGAAGCACTCAGTACTAAACCATTACCAAGGTCCAAGTGAATCCATCAGATATTTAGATCTGCAACTTTAAACGTCAGGAGCGTCTCTTGCGGATTCTTTATACCATAGATTTTTCCTTTAAAAAAAAATCAGTGATTTTAGCACATAGTGAGCTTCCCTCGGTCGTCCTGTCCCTCCTCTCCACTTCTGTCTCCCTCTCTCTCCCTCTTTTCCTTTTCTCTCCACATGCTCTCAGTACTGTAATTTTCTTCTCTTAGTTTCCTTCGTACATTGAACTAAATACAATTTCCTATGGAAAATACAGAAAACCTTTCTTACAGGACTTGATTGTGAAAGAATCTACTCATCAGGGAACGACTTTGCTCTGATTTTAATAATTTTCCCTATGGAGCAGGTCGTGGACATCTGGGCTTCAGAGGACTTGATGGAGATTTCTCTTCCTTTGCTCATTATGCATAGATGTTCACAGCATTCTTTGCTCTTAAACCGCCCCAGCCCGAAACAAGCTCTTCACTCTTGTCAGCTGTTATTGGTACATGTAACTCCTCGCTCCAGCTGTCCACAGTCAAAGTCCGATTTTGTGTCAGTCTGCTTTTTAATGGTTCAAACTTTCAACAGAATAGACTTTATAGCCTTTCTTTTCTTTCCTTGTCCTTTACTTATATTAGCAACATGCAATCACAGGTAAAAGGTCCTCAAAAAAGTCTGATGCCCCAGAAACGTCCACATAGATAAGCTCAGCTTTGAGCGACCATGGGGATCTTGATATTGCTCATTGGGGGTTGGGGTGAGCAGAGACATTTCCACCACTCAGAGCATACTAGAGGCAGAGAGAGAGAGACTCATTGTTACACTTCCTTTGATTTGTTGAATCTTACACCCTCTCAGTCTGTAATTTGTTTCAGTCACTCAATCTCCCTCCATCTAACAAAATTTAGCACCTTTCTAAATAAGCTTCAGTTTTAACAGGTGCAGCATAATTGTACGTGTTGATGGGGTATGGTGTGATGCTTCCTTATGTATATATGTTACACAGTGATCGCTTTTAGATCCCAAAGTGATTCTTTCCAGGTGCTTAGTGTCCTAAACAAAGAATTGGGCCAGATACCCAGAAAAGGTAGCAAGACTTACATTTATTGAAGGAGGAAAAGAAATTGTCCCCTCAGGGTGAACTCTGCCAGTGAAAGGCTCACAGCAGCCCTCAGGACAATGGCAGGGGTCACTTGTGTCTTTAGTTCTTAAATTGCTTCTCTCTTGTGCAAAGAAAGCACTTGGGACAGTTGTCCTATCAGAAACTCACTTGCCTGACACCAGATCTAAACCGCCCTGTCAAAGGCCTTGTGCCTTTCACACCAGATGCAACGAAGGACTGAAGCCAGCGCTTTCTCACAGCCAGTCCCACATGCAAGGTTTTCAAACTTGCACAGTTGTCCCAGATTCTGTGTTCTGCACCTACGTCCTGGATCTCCAAGACAGATAGGTGACGCCCACATCCTTAACTACTTTTACCCCACCCTAGTCTCCTACCTCACACCTCTCACCTCCAACATTTATCATTTCTTTGTAATGAGAAGAGTCAGAATCCTGTCCCCTAGCTATTCTGAAATCTCTCACACATTCTCCTCAGCCTAGTAGCACCCAGTGTGTAATAGGACACCAGAATCTACTTCTCTCCAAGTGTTAAGTGGAATTAGCCAGGCTAGGAAGGACAAACACCACATGACCTCACTCTTGTGTGGCCCCTAACACAGTTGACCTCACAGAAGTGGGGAGGAACGACTGGCCAGTGGCCAGTGGTGACCAGAGGCTGGGGGTGGGGGAAGAGAGAGACGATCAGCAGGTAGGGAGTGTCACAAGGTTTTATGCAGAGCACTGTTGGTCAAGATTAGTGCTGCTGCAGAAAAAGTGAGACAGTCATCTTCATGGCCATAGAAAACAAGCACCCTGCCCTCGGCCCTCTGCATATTTGAGGTCAAAATAGAACTAGGCACCCAAAATAAACCCAGAGTCCAACTTAGAGTACTGGGTTCAATCTGTCTCTTAGGAAATATATCGACGCAGTGAAGTACATTTTAGCATGAGTGTAAGAAAGCTTTACTGGACACTTTCTAGGTTTAGCAAAAGCAGTATCACATTGAACCGAGGCTGACGGCAGATGGCAATCCCAGTGGCCCTAATAAGCACAAACAATGTGTCCTAAGAAAGATATAGACACACACTTGTGAGCGTATAGAAAAATAAACATCAGAAAGGACAGAAAATAAATCATTCACCGTGGTTTCTTAGCCCTAATAGATGGGGAGGGTCTGGTAGTATGGAAGAGAAAGGGTTTTTTAAAAAGTATGCATTGTCTTTTATGATTTAAATAAAAGAATACTCTGTTTAAAGAAAAAGAATACTCTTTCACAGACATAGGCAACCCATCAGGATAGATGATTCACTCACTTTTCACTTTTATGAAAATTCCTTTACTTTGAAATCACAGGGTTTTCAAAGAAGCTTTATGTAGCAATAACGAATTCTATAAAGCATTGTCAGGGTCAGCCTGGTATGATGGTGCACACCTATAATCCCAGCACTCTGGGAGGCTGAGTCAGGAAAGGAGATGTAACTCACTGTTAAGCCCCTGGACCACCAACAAGCAAAGAAGCAGGTTCACTTGCTGCTCTCTTTTCTTGGAGTTTAGGCTGTGTGCTGTATTATTTTCTAGCTACAGGAATCCCTTGAAAGACGATAGAGTGGAACTAATCCCCTCAAACCAGCCCCTGAGACAAGAGAATAAGGAAGGAGCCGGGAAGCAACGCCACCATGGCAGAGCAGGCCGGGTCGTCCACCATCTGCCCTCCGGGCGCGGCTTAGGACCACAGTCACATCAGTGCATGCGATCTGAGTTTCCAGCAGGAAAAGCGATTTTCTTCTAAACAGAGACGCGCTCTTCCCTATCCCTGGCCCACACATCTCCCCTCCCGGGCCAGTCTGACATAATGCGCAAATCACGTTCACACACAAAAGTAGCCCAGCTTTTGGTCATCTGAGCTCAGAGGTCCTCCTGCAGGCAGAGGTCCTTCTCGCTGTCCATCTTTGTCTCAACCAGGGGCCCACACTACCCTACCTGCACCCCCTGTCCTACCTGCCCCACCCCACCCCACCTCACTGCCACACACAGACCCAGCACTGCAGACTTGGAGCAGAATAAGGTTAAGACAGTGATTGAGATCGATAATGCACATCTTAGGCATTTGGTAATCACAGAAGGAAGAAAAGAGAAGCAAGCAGGAAAATTCTTAAACACTCCACAAACTGCACAACCAACAGATGACTGAATGATCAAGGTGTTTTCCCAGGAAAATACCATTGCCATGCAGAACAGGAGAAGGGTAGGTGAGTCATTTGTAGGAAAATGGATGTGCCGTAATATCAACTGAAAGAAACCAGACACACAGGCTTAACTATCCACGGCTTCTCTTATATGCAAAACCCAGAGTATAAATAAGTTAAAGAGCCAAATAAAAGATAGATAATAGCAAGTAGGGAGACAGATTTTTTGCAAAAAGGAAGAGACCCAAGAGATGGAGGGAGGGAGAGGGAACAAAGATGAAGGAAATTTAAAAAATAAGACTTGTCGTATGCATGTACCAGCTTCCCATGATGGATTAATCATTATGCACTACAAACACGTATGGATAAAAAATAAAATTAAGAAAGGATAATGACAATAAAGGGCAAGTTGAATCATAAAACATTAGTAGTAGAAGAAACTTCTCCAGCATCTAGTTCAGGGATCTATAAACTATGCGAGCTAGTGCCTTTTTGTCAATAAAGTTTTATTGGCACAGGTTCAGGCCCATTTGTTTATACACTCTCAGGGCCTTGGACTAATTGTTGCAGAGAATATGCCTCACAAAGTCAAAAGCATTTGTTACCTGGCCCTTCATGGAGAGTTTGCTGCACCTGTCCGGTCCATTGAACCCAATGTAAAGTATAGAAACTAAGCAGGCATGAGGTCCAGGATTTGGCTCCCTGCAGAAGGAGAAGGAAGGGGAAGAGCAGGTGGGGAGGAGGAGAATTGCACCTCCTCTTGGAGGCAAAGTCAGAATAAAAAGCCAAGTCCCCAGCAAATGGCCCTTTGCTCCTTTAGGCCCCTGCTCCACACATTACTTGCTGCATGACTGTACATTTAATCTGAATGTTAATTTCTTTGCATATAAAATGAGATCACAGTGCTGCCTCCCAGCCTCACTGACCGTTTTGGGAGAATTCATAGCATTTGGGGGAAGCTGCCTTCATTCTGCCGGGCACTGAGTTCATGAGTTGATCCTTTTAATAAAATGAGGGGAAGGTTCAGGAGTGCTGGGACAGATACCAACTAAAAGCCTTGTAAACAAAGCACCTTTGTTTTCTATTCAAGATAAAATCAAGTGAAAAACGTTCAGATGTCACCTGACCTGATGCCCAGTCCCTCTACTAATGAAGGTTTTTTTTAATCACCCAAGGAGGGCTGGAGACACCCACTTCCCCCACCCTGAGAAGCTCAACTTCTCCCCTTGTGAGGCCATTTGGCCTTGCCTATTTTTATATCTGAGGAAAGCGACAGTGATAAATTTTGGAAGATGTCTGCTTCTGACTGTGCTTTCTTCTTTGTGGCACTCAGTACGATCCCTTTAAATATGACAAAGTCATGAAAATGCAGAAATGCTGTCGGCCACTGGGCAAGGCTTAAAATCTGAAGAGCTACTTTCACCAGCTTCGACTGTTTTGAAAACAAAATATCCCAACCTTGAGGGCCATGCCCTGGAGATTCCCACCAGGCCCCCTTTGCACAGTAGGAATTATGAGCAAAGGGGTCCCTGGGGATTTCTGCTACGAGAGTCTTAAGAGTTGTTGGGATGTTTAGATGGGATAATTAATATGGAAGCCATATGCAGGCTACAAATTGGAATGCCTCTGCCTTCACTTTGATTCTAAGTGTCTCCATGTGGCTTAGTTTACTAATGATGCTAACAGTTAACCTGGGAGCACTCACTAGTGGACAAGCCAGCTTCATAGATTAGCTAGCTCAGGCCATCCTAGTGAATAATCGGTGACGTGTGTGTGTCATTAGCTTCATCACACAGGAAAAAATAAATTAATACTTAAGGACTTCACACGACTTCCCCAAGTCCTGAAGCTGCTAAGCAACAGAAAGGGTCTTAAGTTATTTCCATAACTATCAATCAATGTCCTGCAAATTATGGCATACTCTGAAATTATTTACTACAAATCTGCTTCTAGACTGAGAGGCTGGAAGCTTTTTTTATTCTTTCCTCTCTCATATGTTCGTTTAGCCTCCGTTGTGTATTGTATCTATATTCCCCTTAATAATTTCCAAAAGCCCCACTTTTACAAAGAAAATAGTTTGGTCGCATATTATTGGTATGCTCTCTTACATTGTTTTATCTGTGAAATATCTGTTTAAAACCAAATTAAAGGTACAAAATGTAGAAATTTAAATAAATAAAAGTCTAGGGCTGGGCATGATGGTGCACACCTTTAATTTCAGCACTTGGAAGACTAAGGCAGGAGAATAAAGCAAAGAAAAAAAAGAATACAAAAAAATCTATAAAAACAAAATACTCTGAGTTTAAAATTTCATGTCACACCTTGTCATTTAGACATCATGATGGATTTAAAAGATCAAGTATCCAATCCCTTGATCTAGCCGTGGTGTTATCAAACAGCACTCAGTGGATGAAAGAGGTTTTACCCACTCATGGGTACACTAACCAGGTGGCAGCTTCTATTTTGTGGCTGATGGGCCAGCAGTCTCTGCCCTGGGGTTACATTTAAAAAACATATCCCGTATTAATTTAATCCTGACCTGAAAGGCCTCTTAATTGAGCTGTAAAGCAAAGACACGAATGTCCTGATTAGAAAGGTCAATCAGAAAACGCAATTAGAAAATCAAGCTCCTTAGAAGTGGCTATTACTGTATGGCAAATTTCTCAGAAACAATGAATGACACGAAAGCACGGGGCCTACGGTTTCACTTTTTCTGCTTCTCTGATGCCTGCATGGACACTGCTTCCTAGTGGAAGAAACTCCCCCTTTTTAAAGCCCACAACTGTCTGGTCCAATTCATACTGAGCTTTAACGAATATAGATAGCAAAGCAATCTCAATGGGAGACCGCACGTCCAGAGCCACCTCGGTGGCAATATTGCTTAGCTCCAGGTGGCAGAGGCAAGACCTGAGGTTTTGTATTTCTGCCCATTCCTCCTGCTCTGACTTTCTGTCCCGCCCTCAGGGCAAACCTCTACTATTGCAGACATCTTTGACGAAGACCAGAGCTGAGAAAAATGAATAGCACCGTGAGTTTACTCTATTAGTATTTGAGATATGCTCATATTTATTTTCAATGGCAAATCGATGACTGTGAAACTGTTAACATCCTAAGAGCTCCCTCTGCCATCTGCCAGTGTCCTACTGGCATGTAAATTCCACCATCCTATAAAAAGTTTACCTTTTTTTCATCTTTTTCTTCCAATTTTCAATACTATTCATCTTAATTTAACAAAAGACAATAATACTAGTTCAGGTTATCTCTAAAAATATGACACACTGTGAAAATTTAATTAGTTTTTATCCCTATAATATTTTTTGGCTTTAGGAAGATATATAAGTAATATTACAATTAATGTATTAATATAACCAGTTCTATGCTTTAGAACTGTGTCGGATCTCATCAACACAGAAGCACATCTTGAATTTTTAGGTAGGATTAACATTCTGTCTCTTCAAAACAAACCTGGAATCTGTTTTTCATCTAACATTTGTCTTCCATCATGTATTTTTCTTTCACAATGAAAATTTAAAGAAAAAATTTTTTCTGTCTTGTAGGCCAGAAAATCATAATGAGACTTTAGTGTTCACTCTTATCATTGTCGGAATTTCTTTCCATCTTTTGACTTTTTATTTAGAAGGGACTGTGGGTTCACAGGAAGTTGTAAGGATAGTACTGAGACGTCTCCAGTAACTTTGACCTCGTTTCCCCCAACAGTGACATCCTGGATAATTTTAATACAGTACCAAAAGTAGAACAACACCACTGATACAAAGTACCTGACAAGTTCATAATTCAGCACTGTGTGAATTCTGTAACCACGTGTGGTAGCAAAAAGTCACATATATGTGGCCATGGCAACCTGGCTTGGGTTGCAGCAAAGTGTCTCAAAGTAGGGTGTCTTGGGTCTGACTCGGACCAAGGACATTCTCATGGTACACTCAAGGCTACCTGTATGTAACATTGTTCCCCCAGGGGAAACAGTTTTTTCTGTGAAGAATGGCGTGTAGCTGAAGTCACTCAGCAAATGCCTGCATTTTGCTGACTCTCATTATTTTAACCCTTTTGCTCACACCAGCACTGCGGTCAAGATCCAGAGCTAATTCATTGTCACAACCATGTCAAGGTTCCTGGGGTGACTCCAAATAAAGAGGAACTGTGCCCACATCTTGCCAGATTTTAAAGAAGTTGGTAGATCACATGCTTGGTATGCACAAGGGCAAGATTCAGTCCCCAGCGCCCAAAAAAAGAAACTTTACTTCCCCTCAAATTTCTTAGCATTCTCTCTCTTTCTCTCTCTCTCTCTCTCTGAGGCACATCATGTTATACGTTTTGCTTCAAATGTCAATACAACGGGTGATCAGAATAAAAATGAACGTTTAAATTTTAAAATGTTTAAACTTTAAAATGCATTACAGTAAGAGACACTTAGCCATTAGTTCCTCTCAAAATACCCTCCTCACCTTAAACACACATATCCCATTGTTCTTGCTACTCTGAAGCAGTTCTGGAAGTGCTCTTTCCTGAGTGTCTTCACAAGGTGTGATCAACAGAACAGTGCACGCTGCTGCCAAGGGCCCTCCTCCAGAAAGGCAGCTCGTACAAACATGACGCTGCGTCCTCACCCGCCTTATTCACCGGATCTGGCACCGTGCAGCTTCTGGCTGTTCCCCAAAGTCAAAATGACCAGGAAAGGAAACATTCTGAATTGATTCACAACACTGAGGCAGCAAAGACAGCACAACTAATGACACAAAAGAGACTACAGCACATGGCAAAACAAAAAGTGAGCAATCTTCATTGTTTAGGAAGGGAAGTGCTGCTCCAGGACAGCTGCACTCACTGTCTGTCAGACTCCCCAGGACAGTGGTGGCGAACCTCCGGCACGTGTGCCACAGCGGGTTGTGTCACTGAAAGCTCTAAAAGTTTTGCCATAACTGCTCTAGGATGACTTCAGAGGCCTGATAAAGCTCTGAGCTGAGCTCTCACAGAAAACAACTTGTCTTTTAATACCAGACTCTGGCTCTTTACTGTTTGTGATGAAATTGCCCCGGGTTTGTTAGATTCACATAGCAGCTGCATCAGTGTCTTTTCTAGTTTTACTAATTGCACATTTGCCACACCCCTTCAAATAAAAAGGATGTGGTATAAGCCCAGGTAAAACTCACACAAATTAAAGCAACTTCAATTTAAAAGCTAATGACCTGAAACATGAAGAACCGTCCATCAGAAAGACAGAGGAAACAAAATCCGTAACCCAAAAATCCTTCAAACACTTTCAAAATCGCTTAAATGAAAGGACTGAAAACACTCAACCTTGCCCAACAGCAGTCTTGAAGACTTTGTTCTTTTTGTTTGCAGTACTTATTTTTTATCTAGAGACAGGATTTCACTAAGTTGCTCCAGCTGGGCTCGAACTTGATGTCCTCCTGCCTCAGCCTCCCAAGTAGGTAGGATTACAGGTGTGCACAACTGCACTGGCAGCTCTGAAGTCTTGGGGAAGTTCTCTGTTACTTCCTGTGACTCTACAAGCTTAGAGTTCTGATACCATTTAATCTATAGCTTTGCAACAGCCCAGCTACTAGCCATGGAAACACAGACTAACTGCGTACATAGATTTGGCCCAAACTGCGGGTTTCTGGGGTGACTCGAACCTCTCCACAGAAGCAGAATGTTGTTTCCTTTCCTCACACACACCCAAAAGTAGACCACATAGTTTCAGAGAGTGGGATAGTCACATTCACCCCCAACAATTTCAAGGGACAAAGTTGCAATAGTTTCTTATTTGGAGAACCTCTAGAAATGGGTGATATTATGAATCAGGGAAGCCAGGCATAGTAGTACACACACCTGTAGTCCCAGCCACTGGAGAAGCTGAGGCAAGAGGACCAGAAGTTGCGCAGGCCTTGCTGCATCAATCCCCCGAATGGATTCATAATATTTCCCTTTTGTGGTTATTGTGACTTCGTGGAAGAACCAGAAATTGCACAGTGCCACACCAGTGAATAAAGTGGATGACAGCAGGCCATGTTTTTACTCAACAGAAACTCCCATACCAGAAGCAATGTGTGACACTGGGCATCGTCATGACAGAGGATGAAGTCCTTTGTCTATTTTTTAGGTTATTTTCCACGCATGTCATAGGGTTCCAGGGTACAAACTCAGGTCGCACAGCTCCATCAATGTCAACACCACCTTGATACTGGATCTTGATCGATGCACTTTTTCTGCATAAGGAGAACTGGATCAGAACTCTGAACCTTGCTCTCAGAACCATGCCCACAGATAAGTTTCATCTCCTGAGATGACATTTCATAACAAGCCAGAAGCAGGGGTGGGATGATCATGCGACCTTGATGAAATGCTCTGTTCCCGATCCATGACTTCAGGCACCTTTTCAAACACACCTTCGCTCAGCTGTAGCTCACAACTGACCACAAGAAGCAAGCTGAAACTTGTTACAGGCTGCTACGCAAGTTTGATCTCTGCTCCGGCCTGCCTTTCCGTTGGATGGCACTCAGCAGCAGCATTCACCATGTTTTATATTCTATTTTTCTTAGCCTTATTTTAAAATACTTCCAAGTATTTCATTGCCCTCACATATTATTGAAAAAAGCCTTGAAAAATGCAGATTATCGTGAGTTCGGTTCCCGGTACTGGAGGAAAAAAAAAAAAAAAAATGCAGATTAGTCGGGCATGGTGGCACACGCCTGTAATCCCAGCACTCAGGAGGCTGAGGCAGGAGGGTCATTTTGAGTTTGAGACCATCCTGGGCTACAAAGTGAGCTCAAGACCAGCCTGAACTGCATAGTGAGACCCTGTCTCAAAAAGACCAAAAAATAAAAATTTAAAAAATGCAGATTAGCTCTAAACCCAGTGGGTAAAGAGGAGGGAGAGTCCTGCTTTTTCTGAATCTCCATTGAAAACAAAAAACAAGGCAGAGGGTGTTTCTCTGTGGTTAGAGCCCTTGCCTGGCAGGTGTGAGGCCCTGGGTTGGATTCCCTGAGCCACAAAAGGGAAAAACAAAACTCCTGCTTATGCAAGATATAAGCTACAACACAAGCCACATGTCAAAATTGAAAAACTTTTTAAATGTTCATTACTTCTTACCTGTAAATCCCTTCTATGACTACGTTCTACAGAAATAGTCTGAAACAGAGAAAAAAATTATGGACAACAAAGTTCACCCCCGTATTACCTGTGACGGTGAAAGATTTGAACAACCTTGGCATGTTTGTCTACCAGTTGAGAGAAAGTTAGGTCCATTATGGAGCGTCTACTTCATGGCCTATGAAGGTGGCTGTAAAAATTGTGTTCAGAAAAAGTGTGTAATAAATATGCAGGGGTTTCTCATAGTGAATTTCAGCTAGACACGTGCAGTACATTGAAGCAGTGTAAGAATATGGATCTGTGTACACACACACACACACACACTTCACCCCTCATGTCTCCAGAAACTGTGCCCAGAAAAAAATCTGAAAGGAAATGCAGTAGGATATTAGAGCAGTTATCTTTGATATTGAAGGGAAATTGTTTTCATTCTTCATTTTCCAAATTTTCTGCAGTATACATACTTTGCTTTTAGAAGAGACCCTTTATTTTTAAAAAGAAACTGCAAGCATCTCGCAGTTTAGGTCTGTTTGGAAGCAGTGACCCAGCTCCGGTCTGTAACCCGTCAGGCTTCTCCTCTTCCTTTTCCCCTTGGCTTTTCTGATGAACTGAGGCCTCTTCTGTTCAGTGGCTGAACAGGCGAGCGCAGATCTTTGCAAAGACACTGCTTGGTTATCTTTATTTACCTAAGTATGTGAACTCTTCTAGGAAAGTAGTATAAAAAATTTTTAAAAGAACCTTTCCTTTGCCCTCTCTGACTCCCAGCATGGTGGCAGTTGAGGGTTTTGAAGATCATGGAGTTTTATCTCCCAGCAGATGTGAGCAGTTCATTCACAAAACGCAGTTGCAGGTGGTTTTGGGGAAGGGAGCTGAGAACAAAGGAATAAAGCTGCATGGAGCCAGCTCAGGGTGTCCCGGCAACATAAACCCATGCCTTGTGGCTCTCGCTGTGACAAAAGCTTGGCAAACAGAGGCACACGCTCAGCTTTTCCTGCATTTCGGCCAGCAGAGCTCCCCAGGCAGCTACAGCCAGAAGAACGGTTTCAGCCATACCTCTGGCCTTGAACACTCGTGCGGCCCCTCTGTGTGTAGGACAAGGACTGGTTTGAAAATAGAAAAAGTAAAGTGCTGAGTGGCGCTGTGGAAAGGTGCAGCAAACTGTCACCACCATTATTCACTGAGAAAGTGACGGTGACAAAGCTGCACTAACAGTGTGCTAGGAAACTGTGCTTCGTGGGGTGTGGCAAAGCAGTGAAACAGGACCGGCCTCCCAGACACCTGAAACCTCAGTGTCAGTGTCGTGCTCTGCTGTTCCTGGATTAACTGGCAACATTCAATCCTCTTTCTTGACTCTTTTTTTTCCAGTATTGAGGATCGAACCAGGACCTTCACACTGAGCTACATCCCCAGCCCTTTTATATTCTTTCAGACATTTTTTGAGACAGGGTTTGCCCAAGTGGCTCAGGCTGGGCTCAAACTTGTAATCCTCCTGCTTCAGCCTCCCAGGGTGCTGGGATTACAGGTGTGTGCTCCTGTGCCTGGCTCTCTTTCTTGACTTTTTTACTGCCCCTTTTCCTTATTTTTTGCCCAGGGAGAACTCAAAGGCACTTGACCATCTCTCACCCATTCCAACAGCTCTGGGGCAAATTTTAGGAAAAGCAGAAATAGTCATGCTCACCAATTTCCTCTTTTCTCATATACGTTCTTCTGGAACTCTCTGAGAGATGTCACTCAGCACTGAGTGTCCTCTTGGGGCCACTCTGCATCGGACAGGACTCCTGTAGACTGGTGTTTCCCAACCTCGTGTGTAAGGCAAGATCCTTGAGAAGCACCTTCATCTACGAGAAAGAGGAAATGCAATGCTGGCTTGCATGCTGGGCGTTTAACCCACATATTGTACATGAGTTCTTGCTTGAAACCCATCGCTACACCTACTAGATTCAAGCAGAGTATGTTTGCAGGAGGGTTTCAAGCCAGCTTCTTTCCAGCCTTGTACTTAGGGTTCTGCCAGTAACTTCAGCGACAGCTGCATGTGTTAATCCAGAATCTTTCTTCTGGGGAGCACTTCCAGAAGAGGGGCTCAGCCCAGGGTGACCAGGAAGCAAAAAGCAAGACAGTCAGAGCTCAGAGTCCCGAAGATCCCTGTGAGGCCACGCCCCTAGTGACCTCATTTCCGCCCACCAAGGCCCCACTTCCGGAGAGCTCCACCGCCTCCTCATGGTGCCACTGGGATACGGCAGCCTATAGGGACATTTCAGACCCAAACGACAGCACCTGCCCTGCTCACAGCCCAGCCGCACTGCCATTCCAAAGCTGCATAGTGGCAACGGGTGGGTTTGTGTCTCACTCCCACCCACGGCTGATGTTCTGTCTGGGTTACAGGATCCCCTTCAGGCGGCTGACCTGCAGTGGTCGCCTGGTGGGTGGTGTCGCCTTCTTGTTCCGCATTTTCTCTGTGTTCGCTGGACCGTGGGGCGTGGACGCTCTCTGCACGGGCCAGTGCGCTCTGGAGCCCATTCTGGTTCCTGGGCTGATTCCGCACTGTGAGGCCAGAGCCCCTCTCAGCCGGGTTATCAGCTGAACCGCCAGAGCCAGGAATCTGCTCCTTGCCTTTCCCACTTCCCTTCACATTGCCTGTATACACTCTGCACTAAGATCATCCTTTCCCCCCGACCCCCAGCACTGGGGGTTGATCCAAGGGCCTTCACACCAAGCTGCGCACCCAGCCTTTTTTAAAAAATTTTAGACAGCATCCTTCTAAGTCGCTAAGTTGATCAGGCTGGGCTCAAATTTGTGATCTTCCTGCCTCGACCTCCCCAAGTGCTGGGATTACAGGCAGGTGTCACCACACCTGAGAGTCATATTTAGAGCCAAACCCTTGCCAGCCCCTGCCCCTCCTGCCTCCCTGACCTTCCCTGGCGCATCCTCACCAGCCTTCTTGCTGCTCTTGCCCACTGCACTTGCACGGGTTCCCCATCATGCCTGACCCAGCCCGACCCTCCCCGAGTGCGTTGCGTCCCCTCCAGCTGCTCTCGGGGTCCCTGCTGCACCCCACGCCATCTCCTGCCCTGCGATGTTTTCTTCCTCTTCATGGCTTTTACTTCGACCTGAAATTAAATCCTCACTTGGATCCTTCTCACTTCCGTTCTGTCCAGGGGACTTTTCTGCCTCACTCCTGCGTCCTTGGCTCTAGAGCCATGACATCCACATCAGAGGCTGTCACATGCATGGGGGTGAACAGAAGTGGGTGCAGGCTTTCCCTCCACCTGATGGGGCCCCCTGGGCACAGGATGGGGCCCCTCATCCCTGCATCTGCACCCTTTCCAACCCACATCTCCTTTTGATAAAGGAAAAAGCCAAAAGGCAAAATGACCTCATGGCCCTGCACAGGGCCCAGGGCTGGGCTGCAATGGAATAAAGAGAAACATGGAATAGCAAACTCCGTATGTCTCAGGATCCAGCATTGGTTGTTTTGAGAACACGTGTGCACACACATGCCCATCCCCCTCCCAACAGCCTCCTGTGTACTGTCCACCATGTCTGGAGTACCCCTAACATCAACACAATGGTTGGAGTTGCCATACAGAAACACTGAGAAAATAATGACAAGAAAAAGACAGAAGGACTCATTTTTCCAGAATCTTTTTGGTCCGGGGCTGGTTGAATCAGTGGGTGTGGGACCTGTGGATTCAGAGGCCACCACCACCAAATCCTGTGTTGGACCCCAAGTTCAGGGCTAGGAACGTGATAAGAACCATGCCTCCTTGGGAGGGTTGACTCGTGCAGTTACTGTCACCCCCACTGGCATGGTGTTGGAGCTGGACTCTAGCTCAAAGGTGCGAACAGCTCAGTCTGCGTTCAGATGGCACCTACCGACACGGGGAGGCGCTGGCTCAGTGTGCTCAGGGAAGGTTTTTTCACAGCGTATCAGGCAGTCTGAGGAGGTCCTTGGTCGATAACTGCAGACCTAGTGTGCAGCCCAGCATGGAGCACAGCACGTCAGCAGTGGGCTCCACGGCAGCTTCCTACTTTTATTCAGGGCCAGGACTTGGACCTGAAATTAATTGTGCATTGTTTTCCTTTCAGCCCTTGCCACCCTTTGCAAATATATCCTATTTGAACACTTTTGAGGGAAGGAGCTGGTTGGCCTTTTATTGTCTACCTGGGGCCTGATGTTGAAGTACCTGCTAGATATTTGTTGACTAATCACTAAACAAATACATTTTGTCAAGCTTTTGAGTTCTTTTCTCTTCTAAGATTGGACTCAAATCACAGCTCTCAGCAAAGTTTAAGGCATCTCAGCAGGGCAAGCCTTGGGAAAGGAGCGAGCTGGTTCTCTCTCCTTCCTCCCCCAGTGAAGGCCGAGTCAGAGCAGTCCTCTTCCCGGAGCTCTTCCCAGAACTGCCAGGCACACTCCTGAGGTTTCTTTTCTCCCAGGGAGAGCTAGTTCAGGTCCTTCCTTTTGCAAGAATTCACTCCCCGGTAGTCACATTTGCTAAACCTTGTTCATTCTTAACGGGGCACAGGCAGCAAAATTCAAAGGCATTTAGGTCCAGATGCCCCTCACCCGGGGCCCTTGCTGGGGAGGAGGAGGACACCAGAAGTGGAGCAAGAATGGAATGCTTTGTTCACATTGGCTTGGGAAGGGGCCTTGGCCGGGAGCCGGAATGCTGGGTGCTGGGGTCAGCGCTGTGACACCCCCACACACAGTTTTCAGGCAAAATGACTAAAGACCACCCCCTATCATCTCCAACGAGGTGACTTCTCAGCTGTGATGACAGTGATATTATATCACAGCTCCTACATCTGCATTCTCAGGTGGGAAGCACAGGAGTTGGGTAAGGTTTCTACCATCTGCTCACCAAAAAAACAATGTCACTGTGGATTTCAGAAGAGATTGCAGCCCTGGTCAAGAGCAGCAGCCTTCCACGGGCGTTCTCAGTCATAAGGACCAGGTCCCGCAGTGGCCCGGCATGGGCTCTTCGGAAGGACTTTATTCCTTTATTCCTCTGTCTACTGTGACAGTGCAGCCCCAAGGGCCCCTGTCAGTCAGCCAGGCACTGTCCTTGCTCTCACAGAGACGGGATTCACATCTGGTTCCAGAAATGCAGCAACCCATGCGGGACAGCAGACAACACACCAGGTCACGAGGCATCACACTGTCAGCATGGTGAGGAAGGGGTGACCAGGGGACCCAGCGCCCATTTTCTTCTGCATCCATCAAAAGCATGCAAGAACGTCCCCTTCCAGAGGTGGACACCTTTGAGGCCAGCCTGAACTACATAGTGAGACCCTGTCTCAAAAAAAACAAAAACAAACAAAAAACACAAAAACAAAATATCCAAAGACTACTATACTAATACTAATATATCCTGAAAGTGTTCATTCGGCTTCTGCTTGTGTGCATTCCAGCTGGCCTCCATATCAGCTCAGTAACTGATAAATCCCAGACTAAAAATGCTTCCCCACCAGAGAGCCTTCTGTAACCCTGTGGGCCACTGTGCCAGATAGTATAACTCAAAATGGTTGGGAGAACATTTAAAAGAAAATCGAGCCCAAATGGACTCCTAAAATGACCACGTCTCGTTCCATCCCAAAATTTCCTTTTTCTTTAACCTGGGACACAGAATCGCTCCCTACCTTGCTCCCGGAAGCCTGGTGTGCAGGCAAACTCCGGGGTCCCCACCTGCAGTGCCCAGCCCTTGCCCAGGACTCTGCTGCGCTTCCCCCTCCTCCTTGGTGGGCTGTGAGAAAACCAGAGCTCCTGTGTATGTTTTTGAAAATATCTGCTCAGGTGTCTATGGCTGTGCAAGGCCGTCCTGATGTCCCCGACAATCATATTGTCCACACAGAGCGTGCCATGGCCCGGGGGCCTGTCATGGTGGGGGTCAGGAGGAATGAGTGTAACTTAGGTAGCGCTCGTCAACCCAGGGACGCACCCTGTGAAAGACTGCACGCAGTGGCTCCCTCTGGCGGTGGCCGAGCCGTGTGTGCATGGGGGAGTGCAAGCCACACACTCACCGCCACTGCCGTGCTGGGAGGAAGAGGACGCATCTCCAAATGCTGCGATGAGAGGGACTCCCGGAGTGGGGGTCCTGGGCTGCACGGTGCACTGACTTCCTCACCCACCAGCAGCGTTGGCTGTGTTGTCCACCAGCTGGCCGGAACTGTGAACTGTTTCCTCTTTGCTGAAAGGCAAGAAAATAAAACAAAGCGGCACTATATTATTCTTTATACTTCTTCGGTGCTGTCAAGTTGCACCCTGGAGTGTTAGCAACCTGTATTATTTCTTTCCTGAATGACCTTATTTCCTATGACAAGGCACTTTTTGTTGCTTTTTTTATATTTAATGGTTTTAAAACCAAAGCGCTTTTACATAATCAAAATGTTTATATGGCAGTGGATTTATTTTTACCTTCCTGAGAAAGCTGTTATTAAAACTGGCAATTTATAAAAAGGAGAGAAAAATGAAGACAGGGCCCACACTATCGACCTTTCAAATATGCCTCGAGCCCTAGTGGGGAACAGGTGACAACAGCACCTGTGTCCCTCTGAGCACCTGACCTCCCACGCAGCACCTTCGCCTGGTCAGTGCCGCCACCGTCTTGCACCCTAAGCCATTCTGGTGATTTCTGTCCACCGTGTTCTTTTTCTTCCTTCTCTACCAGTCTCGTTGCCTTGTCCTTTTCATAGCTCTATACTTCTGCCTCCCTGCCCTCCAGCACTTCCTCTACCCTTCCTACATCTGCCCATCCTGCAGCCCCAGAATCACTGTGATGAAATTCAGAGCACGTGAATGAAGTCTCCAGCTGTCACAGGTCCGATCACTGATCAGGACCAGCGGGTCCCAGTGACCCTGAGCACAGCCTCCCGCCTTTGCAGCCACTCTGGGTCCCATCCTCCCTCCAGTCCTGCTTTACCCTGGATGGTCGTGGGGCCAGCCAGCACCATCGGGCTTTCACCTTCCCGAGCTCTGGGTTCATTCTGGCTGCTCATGATCGAGGAGACACAGAGGTCCTGGCTTGCCTTTGTCTTAGCAAGAAAGCCTCCTGCTTGTTTGTAAGGCCAGGCTCCCCATCTGTACTCCTGCTAGGTCTTAGACTCCCGCCCTCTGTCTTCTTGCCCTGTCTCTTATTGCCTGGTACCCAGGCGCTGTCGAGTGGGAGCTGTGGGGTGCCCCATCCCTGCCCTGTAGGCACGTGCTGCAGGTGTAAGTGCTGACTGTTCATGGAGCCTAACTTACACCTTTTCTGCTACGAGACTTCTGAGACGTCGCTGGCTGAGTCACCAGCAGTTGCAGGCAGGATGATGTGTGTTGGTCCCACAGCCTCTCTGTCCTCCAGTTCCCAGTGCAGAAAGCACCCAGGGAGAAGCCAGGATCCCAGACACCTCCCTAGGAGACGTCCATACCCCCAGACCCTGCTCTAGGGGCCTATGGTCACCTCTCCTGGGAGCCCTCCTATCGCTGTCTCACAGAAATGGCAATGTATCCCCCTTGCTTCTGACCCCTCGGTAAACCTTCCCAACCTTGTCCATCCTGGGAAGTACACACAACCCTGCAACATAGAATGATCCTACTGTGTTACCCATTCTATGTCCACCTGCCAGATCCTGGCTGGACTTCCTGAGTTTATCCTAGCAAAGTGGCACCTATATGCACTGGGCCTAAAATGTACCCACGTGGATCCAGGTAGCACCTTGTCTCCTCTTCGTCACCCAGAGTCCAAACTCTTTCCTAGCCTCAGCTCCCAGAACTTCTCTCACCCACTTCTCCTGAGCTCCAGGCCCATGTGGCCTCCTGGAACATTTCCCAGATTCCCCACTGGAGACCCCAAGTTCTCCCACCTTGGTAACTGATGCCGAACTCTCCCATGAGCGCGACTTGAATCCTCTGCCTGGCCTGCTCTTTTCTTTAATTCTGCAGCACCATCCTTCTCCAGATGTCATCATAAGAATGTTCCTAGTTTTCATTAGAAACCAGAGTCTCAGCCATTTGTGGGGAAGGCTGTGACCTGAGACCCTCCTGGCACAAGGAGGCAATTTGCTGCTTCACCATTAACCAGAAGGACACGCAGACACGACAGTGAAGAGTAACAAGGAGTGCCGTCGCCCTTGGTGAGCACAACTCCGTTGCTTCTTCCCACTGACGTGCAATCTTGCTGCTCTGATGAGGTTAGACAATCACTGCACTAAAAAACCAGCATCAGCCAGACACAGTGGTGCACACTTGTACTCCCAGCTGTCCTAGTTACTTTCCTTGTTGCTGAGACAAAATACCTGACACCCAAAGTTAAAGGAAGAAAGGTTTATTTAGCTCACAGTTTGTAGAGGTTGCAGTCCATAATCAGTTGGCTCCAAGGCAATGTGGCTGGGCAGAGAACAGTTCATGGAGCCCACAAGGCAGCAAAAAAAGCAACAAGGGAGGAAGGAAAAGCCTCTTTCTATCCCTTATACTGTATGCAGGCTACCCACCCTCGGGCAGGTGTAGCACTCACACCCTTAATCCTAGCCAGGACCATGCCAAAACCAATCAGTGGACTGATTTACTAACCACCCACCCTTAACCCCAGCACCACACATTCTAGATTCAGCCACATCTGAAAAACCTGCATGACCACATGAGGCTGTGGTGGGACATCTAGACACAAACCATAACACCAGCACTCTGGGAGGCTGAGGCAGGAAGATGGCAAGGTTGAACCCCACCCGGGCAACTGGGTAATTTAGCAAGACTTGGTCTCAAAAGAAAAAATGTGAAAAGGGCTGGGATATAGCTCAGTGCAAAAGCACCGGGCTCAATCCCCAGTACCAAACCAAAAAAACAAAGTTACCATCAGCCTGTTTCAAAAGCTGATGCAGCAGTAACCATGCCAGACACTGCCCATGCCTCTGAGATGCGAAGATTAAATGCGCCCCTAGCAACTGCCTCACCCCAGACGGATCCCTTTTGTCCTCTTCAATAAACAAATTTCCAATAAACAAACTGACTCCTGTTTTAAATGTGTTTGGGGCACTCTGACTTCATCTGTGAAGTCCCAGAGGACTTGTGGCCCTGAGTGCAATTATACAGCAGGTTGGGGGGAGCCCATTACCCTGAGGCGCTGTTTTCCTCCTCCTATGTACTCATCTTCAGCGGGAGGCTGTGCCGCTAATCTGACGGGCTTCACATCCGTGTGCTAGCAAGTTTCTGCCGAGGCACGGCCTAATTCACTATGTTCCATTTTCAACATGCAGATGAGTACGCGTGGGAAAAGGAAATCAAGTATCGGAAAGCATGGCTTATCTTGACTCTGTTCCTTAACGTTAGCAGCACAAAGAATGGAATGGCTTAGGTGCCGGGAAATCCAGAAGACCTGAAGCAAGGGCCAGAGGGTTTTAAGCGTGAGCCAGGCTGACAGGTGGCAGTGACCAGGCTGCGGGCTCTCGTGGCCGTGAGCCTGGCCTTGAAGCTCCAGGCCCAGACTCAGTGACCAAGGCCCAGCCTCGTGTCGTCCCCAGGCCCACCTCACTCACCAGGTCTGCAGCACGGTGGAAGGCGCTGAGTTCCAGGGACACGGCTTCTCCAATTCTTGAATGAGTAAGAAAGGCATCAGGCAGCCATGAAGAACGGATGCTGAGGAAGAGCAGAGGCTGTGATGTGTCCGCCAGTGCCTGGTAAAGGATAAACTCCAAATTGAAATGACAAAACTGCACTTGAACTCTAGAGACCAGGAAAACTTTATAATTGACTCTTATAAGGCATTGTGGGTGCATATACACAGCTGTTAATGGTTCGTAGGAGGGGCAACATCCATTTCATTTTGTACTAACAATAAAAACACTCGAAAAAGTACATATAATGGAAATGATTACTTCTCTCCTCTCTAAGAAGCACTTAACCTTTGATCTCTAAGCTAAATTACATTACTGGAGGCCACTCAAATGCCGCCAGGAACGGGTTTTCTTTGGTACTGTCTGATTATATGCCAAAGTCATTAGCAAACTTTTCAAAGTTCCCCTAAAATAGCTTCTTAGAGATTGAGATGAACCGACCAAAACATTAACCTGAGCTAACACCGCGTTAAATACGTTCCTTCTAATTTTCTCCTTCTCCTTCCTTGTGTAAAATGTTAAGGGAACTAATTCAAAATGTTGGTGTGTGGTGGAATTATAAAGCACTTCTGTTTTTTTTTTCTTTGAGGCCAGTATTTGTCTTCACTTTGCTACAATATAAATGCAAATCAGGCCAGTAAATTTAAAGATAAAAACAACAAGCCAGACATCATATGCATGTTAATTTAGCCTAGCAGAGTAACTTATGTTCATCTGGTTCACGTTTTTTCAAATTAGCCTGTATATCTGGCCTGAGAACAGTAGCGGGTATTTGTGTTAGATTTTTTTTTTTTTCTTTTTGGCCAGGGTCTTGCTATGTAGTTCTGGCGGGACTTGAACTCACTATGGAGCCCAGGCTGGCCTGGAACTCAGTGATCCTCCTGCCTCAGCCACACCCAGGCAGAAATGGTCTCTGTGTAGATGGGTCTCAGTCCATTTTCCACTGCTATCACACAATGCTACAAACACAAGCCTCTCTCCTCTAAATGTGCCCACATCTCCCTGTGCCTCCTTTGGGCGTGCTGACCCACTCAATGGACCAGCCAGGCATTCAGGCCATGCAAAGGCCAAGGTGCTTCAGAACCAATCAAAGGTCCAGGTCAACTTGGAATCCACAGATACTTGTCCAAGAGCAAAACCAAAGCCAAGGTACAACTCTCATCCCTTGATATTGTTCACTCAGACCCTGGTCCAGACCTCAGTGGCCCACAGTTCAGAAATTCTCAGCCATGCTGAGGAATCATACCACCCCCCAAAAACACATTTTTTTAATGAAGAGGGAAGGGAAGGCTTCTCAACATTTCTCAAACTATATTCCAAGATTTCAGGAAGTATGCTAAAAAAAAAAGTTTAAAACAAATAAAAAAAAATATTTCTTACCCTGGTTATGTCTTAGAAAGTCACAGCCCTCAGCACTATATTGAAGATGCTAACACACCTTACCATAAAGAAACCGCATTCATTCTTCAAGAATTTTCCAAATCGCTTTAACAAAAGGGAGAAAAACCTTATTTTTTCCCCTCTCAACACATACTTTTAAACTCTCTGATCTGGTCTTCCAGTTGGGAAAAGCTTGAAGGGGCTTGTGCCTGGCTATGTCTCTCAGAGTCTATCATCTTTCCATGAAAATAGTTCATTGCTTCTCTTCTTAATTACGGTATGTTTAGAGGAGGAAAAAGATCAGTCCGCTAAAAAAGGACACAGGGTATTTGTTGTCTGATCTACACAAGGACAGATTATTTTTTAGACACTAGCAACAGTAGCCAAACAAGGGCAGCCTGACCTGGCTGTGGCGACGGAAGTCTTGAGTTACATTTCTGAAACCCACCAACGGTCAGAAGGAGGTAGGGTTTATGGAGCAATTGGGCCTTTAGCTTTGTTGATCTGGCTGATGAAAAGGTCTGTTGTGTGAGGATTTCAGTTACACTCAGAGGTTTGGGAGTGATTTGGATTTAACTTGAGCAGGGAGATCAATGACGGGAAATCCTTCTGGCAGCCATAGATCTTGCTCTGCCAATAACGCTGTAGTGAGTAGAACCAGGAGTCTTCTTCAGAGATTCTTTTTCAATTCAGCAAACATTTGTGCGATGCTGTTGCCTCCCAAAATATCGTACTTA